GAGTGACCGCTGGCCTGTAAATGAGTGAAAACTGCAGAGTTCTGGCCATTAGATGTAGCTCGTCTGTGTTGGGACAGTGTCAGTGTTAGTTTTTTTTTTATATTTTAATCTTTAGAAATCAGCTTGTTCAAATAAAAATAATTAACAATATAATTCATTTGAAACGGAATACCAGAAGTACCTGTCAACACCTGCTGACAGCAACGAGGAGCACATGTTAACCAGCAGCTGTAGTGAAGCAGTTCTAGGGGGGGTCCAGGGTTATACGCTCTAACCTCACATAGTAACAAAGTAGCTGAGAAACCCACAGAACAAGTTACCTTCATTATTCATTTTTATTTTTATTTACGTCCTTTATCAAACCAGGAAAGTCCCAYTGAGATTAAAAACCTCTTTTTCAAGGGAGTCCTGGTCAAGAGGCAGCAAAAAATATACACTTACAAAGAGTTACACAATTAAAACACAATAATACTAAAGACATTCACAATTCAAGGAAGTCATCTCTAATGCCCTCAGTCTGGATTTAAAGGTGCTCAATGGGATCAGTTTGGTTAACTTCCAGACTTTTTGCAACATTTTCCATGTAGACGGARCAGAGTAAACAAAGGCCCTTTTTCCCAATTCTTTACGGAGAAATGGGACAGAGAGCAAGAAATGATAATTTGAACACAAAGAGTATGAATCAATGTTTTTTTTTTGTGTGATTAGATCACAGATGTAAGATGGTAGCAACCCAACCAAAGCATTATAAACAAAAATGTACCAATGTCCCAACATCCTAGTGGACAAAGAAGGCCATCCCACTCGAGTGTACAGATCACAATGACAAGTCGAGGTTTTACAGTTTGTAACAAACCTCAGAGAAACATGGTAGACAGCATCATTTTTTAAAAGATATTTTGCTGAGGCATTCATTTAGAACACGTCTCCATAATCTAAAATGGATAAAAAAGTTGTTGTGACAAGCCGCTTTTTAACCATAAAAGAAAAATTTATTTTATTTCGAGAAAAGAAGCCCAGTKTAATTTTAACTTTCTTCACAAGATTTTGGATATGGGGCTTAAAACTGAGGGAGTTATCAATCAAGAACCCAAGATATTTGTATGTGTGAACCATCTCTATAATATTTCCTTCAAGAGTGGACACAGTGGGGATCCTCTGAGGCACCGTTTTAGTGTTTGTAAATAACATTAGTTTAGTCTTATCAGCATTGAGTACCAACCTTAGCTGCATAAATCTGAATAACCAGGGATTATTATAAAAGCTAATCAACTGTACTCTGATGAAAAGTTGTAAAATACATTTATATTTTTTGTCCCTCAGTTGTGACGCCCCTTAGATGGACGACACCCTCAGCATTTGCCTATAGTGCCTGTGCCACGGCTGTCAGGCTCTGACTCATGTAGTTTTATATTTTTGAAGTCACGTTTAAGGTTTATCAAAGCCAAACATAGAAGCCCCTGGTGTGTGTGAGTTTATTGTCAAACATTTAATTAATTCAGCAGAAGAAAAGATGGGCACCATCATCCAAAGACTACCTGTGCCCCTTTTGTCACAACTCCCTTTAGCTTTTCCTGTGATTCACACTCGTCTCTGTAAACCTTTATATTAACCCGTCAGTCATCTTTTTTTTTAAATAATTGACAATTAAAGGTCCCCAGCTGCTCTTTGCTTTTACTGTTCTCATAAATGGATCACCTCAGAGGCAATTTTCAGAACCCCTAAGCCACCTGTTGCCATTGGATGCATGTTATATAAGCATATCCCCCCCCCCCCCCCTATAGTTGCTGAAACCATAAAAGTCTGAGCAGAAAAGGGAATTTTTCAGACTTGATTTACTCTGTCACTAAAGAGCTGTTTGCCAGGCGAGTGTCTCATTGTGGACATTTTTTAAATGAATAAATTAGTGGAACTTCCAGCTGGTGCCTGAATGGTGACATAAACTGAGCTGTCAGACGGAGAGATGACATTTATGCTGAAGCTTGAGTTTCTTTCTGCCAACACGCACATGAGTTTTACTGTTCTCATTATTCCTTGTGGAAATAAAAAAAACTGCCAACAAAAGCTCTATTTATGAATGACGTTCATCTTTTTTTTTTATCACATCTGTAATATATTTGTTTGTCCTCTCATCTGGTCAAAGGTCTAGCTTAACTCAAAGTGCAATACATATAGATTTTTATTTGTTCCACGAGCAATACAAGCACTTAACCAGTCAGCTAAATGGTTGTGGGTATTTTTAGAAGCACCAGATCATTTTGGGTTTAATATATTACCAACAAAATATCATATAAGGTTTAAACGAGCACATGTTTGTCTGAATTTAGTCAAATATCTTGCAGCATCTTGTGTCCTTACGTTTCTTTTTGTGCCGTATTAACCATCATTATATTTTACTATGTAATATGTAATTTGCACATTTAGTAAAGCTAAATAATTCCTAATTCATTCAAAAGTGTTTGTGTGCTGATGTCAAGAGACAAACCTCACCCGTGTGGTTGTTAGGATAAGAAAATGATTATTAAAATCATATTCTGCAGAGAACGAGCGAATGCAGCCTGCGATCCTTCCTTTAATTAATTGCAGTGATGGATCTATAAGTGGTGATGAACGCATTTAGACTCATCTCATTTTCCCCTCGCTCTCTTTTCTCTGCCATTGTCCTGCTCGTTGACCTGGAAATTTATGTCGGCAAAACACTTTTAACGAACGTCTCAGTTTCTAACATGTCGTTGGATGGAGGGGAGCTAAAGGAGAGTATACATCAGTGATTGCAGAAATCATTTCCTGTATTTGTATTTGTTAGTTGTGTTGACATTGATTACCAATTATAAATGCATTTAGACAGAAATAGTAATTCAACTGTTTGTTGTAACAAATCAATGGTTGGAGGAGATAAAGGAGCATCTGCTGCTGTAGAGGTTGTCAGTTTTGCATCACCACTGGATGGCACTAAACTAAAGATAAATGCATTCAAAACACCACTGTTAACGCTCAAAGGCACAAAATTCTTATTCTAAATCCTTTCATTTTTTTATGTGTGCAGGTGGGTAAGTTCCACCTCCTGGCAGCTCAGCGCAGAGAGCAGCACATCCTGCTGATGGTGCTGTCCATGGTGTCTTGTTACATGGTGTGCTGGATGCCCTATGGCATCGTGGCGCTGATGGCCACCTTTGGACGATCCGGTCTGATCACTCCCGTGGCCAGCGTGGTGCCGTCCATCCTGGCCAAATTCAGCACAGTCGTCAACCCGATTATCTACGTGTTCTTCAACAACCAGGTGCRACCTCGGGGCTGAACGCTTCAGTTATTTTTACGAAATGAACAATACATCTCTTAATCCTGAGAGCACACAACATTTCAGGCTTTTAGGTGGTGTCTTGATGAGAATCAGATGTGGATATGACTGAAAGAAAAATTCATTTTAGTCACTATATACTGTTCGTTTATTTAACGTAACAGTATTGAGC